TAACTGCCTTGCTGGAATGGATGCCCATGTGGACAGTTGTGCCATTAGCCTTTTTTGGCGGCACCTTTCAGTGTGGATGACACATTTCTTTCTATACACCTGGAACACCTTGCCAATCTGCTGCCTTTGCAGTGTCCTCAGACAACCTGAACTTCATCATCTTTTCAAATGTGCAAACATTAAAGGGGCATCACACTTGTGTTTCAGCTCTTCAGAACGAGGGGAAGACATCATCTTCCTAAAGGGAGAGGGTGCACTGAAATGCTGTGTATTTGCTTCTGTCAGAAGTCACAAAGGGACTGAGCTTCATTTTGGTGGCAGCTGCTCCAGCAATGGCTTCAAAGGCAAGAGCTATTGTTTCCTATTTAACAAGCCTCAGAGTAACCTCTGTTTTACCAAGGAGAGAAAACAGTCCAGGATTTGCATTGGGTCTTTGCAAGGTCACTACACAACAGAGGTCTGCTGTGTCACCGTGTTACTGCCCTAGGTGCCATGTCCTGTCCTACCTTTGGAAGTTGAATGGGCTATTACAGTAAACCTTGGTTTGCAAAGCCCCTTCTCGGGTTTCCTCAGATTATCAAATCTCTTAGAAACAGTGAGATTCTCTACCAGACTAAGTATTTATACCTCTTTGGATAGACAGTGATGTGGCACGCATACCAGCAGCACTGGAGAGGTTGAAGCAAGAGGATTTTGAGTTCAAGGCCAGTCTAGCTCCACAATGAGTCTCAGTCTCTAAAATCCAAAACCCTTTCCAAAACCCTCTTTGGGGTTATGTAACTGTCCCCTTAAATGCATGAACACTATATGCAAATAGTTAAGAAAGCTGCCTGGGCTGCTCACTGCAGGGCTTCATATCATCCCTGAGCTGTCATCTGCCCATCTGAGTAGCAGTTCCCTGGCTTTCTCTTCTAAGCTGTGAACTGATCATGTGTTAGATGGAGCTGGTCTTTGGTGTAAGTGAATTTGTGAGAACAGAACTCAAAGCCTCAGGGTCACCCGTAGGAGACCACTGAGACTGGAGAGGCAGTGCCCACTGGCTCTGCCCCCTGATACCTCAAAACTCAGTTGGTGCTGAAATGATAGCTGTTAGGGAAAACTATTCTCACAGCTTTGGGGGCCTGAGGCAGTGCCCCAAAAGTGTCATGACAGACCTGAAGCCTGACTCTGGTGAACCTCAGGGGTGGTCTTTGCCAATAACATGAGAGAAGCTTGTTAAGTAAGTTCCTTTAAGTGGTTGAGGAAAGCAGGGCTCACTCAACACTATTTCCCCTGGCTTCCACATCCATGGCCCAAAGAGAGTCTGGGAGTGTGGTGGATGCAGGAGAGAGGGAGGAGATTGCAGAGGGAGTGATTATTACGGGAAGGTGATAAGAGCTATATCTGAACACCATGGCTAGGCTGTGACAAGAAAGCAGAGAGGTGTAAATGTCAGGTTGGGGGTGAGAAGCAAGGAAATTGAAAGGAAAAGCCAGGGCCAGAAATGGGCCGTCATTGTCCTATGGGCCACACTCTGGAACCTCAGCATCACAGCTGCAGAAAGTTTCCCTGGCACTGTGAGGTGGATTAGTAAAGTGCTTGCCTTGTAAGCATGAGGACCTGAGTTCAGATCATCAGCACCCATAGAAAAAGCTGGGTTGTTGGCCAGCACCGAAAATCCCAGTTCTGGGGAGGTGGGGACAGGAGGGTTCCCAGGCTTGCTAGCTAGCCAGTCTTAATCAGTAAGCACCAGGTTCAACAAGAGACCCTACCTCAAACATGAAGGTGGGGGCCAGGAGGGGACTTGGTGGGGAAAAGCACTTGCTGCAACAAACCCGAACTAAGCTCAGATTCCTAGAACCAACATGAAAAACTGTATGTAGTATCACATACATGTAATCAGTGTTCCTAAGACGAGATGGGAGAATAATCCAGAAGTTCATAGGACTGCTAAACTGCATGCCATTGCAAGTCAGCAGAGACAAGAGAGACACTGCTTCACACAAGGTAGAAGGTAAGACTTGACCCCCGAAAGTTGTCCTCTGGCCTCCATATGTGGGTATGCATGCACACATACATGCACACAACACAAAGGTGGAACACAATTAAGGAAGATGCCTACTGTGTTAATCTCTGACATCCATAAGAACATCAAAGATCCCCTTCTGGGGTGGTGATCCATCGGACTGTCAGGCCTTGCTCAGCTAGCTAATGTGTAGGTGTTAGGACAGCAAACCAAGTATAGTGGGTCACATCTGTAATCTAGCACTTGAGAAGCTGAGGCAGGAGGATTGCTATAAATTCAATTCAATCTGGCCTATATAGTGAGTTCCAGGTCTACATGCAAGCCTTGTCTTAAAACAAAAAGATGATGATAGCAGCTGCCATCATTGGGCCCAGGTTGGGAGGTTCTGCTATGCCCCACGAGTGTTCCAGAAAGGGATCCAAGACCTTGCACCCCATTCCACCTGTCTTTCCTTGACCTAGTTTCCAATGAGAAGGTGAACTCTTGGTAGCAGGGAGTTGATGCCCCCCCACCTTACCCCCGGCCTTCCCACAGTGTTCCAAGTGTTGGTGTGCAGCGAACAGTTAAACAAAAATAAAGGAGTTGAAGCGCATATCTGCCCCTGACCACTAAGTGACGCCAGTGATGGCTGGAGATGTTTTCCACGACCAGTCAAGACAGCTCCTCAAGAAGACAGTGCTGTACCTTAACTAAGAGTTGTACTGAAAGACGTGAAGCTATTAAAGGTATAGGCGGTATGGTTATTTCCACTTCACAATAGAAGAAAGCATCACCTGACCCAGCGCTCTTTCCACTGCCCCAACCCACGGGGCAGGTCTGCCTCCTGCCCAGTTATGATAGACCAGGCCCTCTAAGTGGTTCCACTGCTAGGAGACAGCTTCTCACTCCCTTCCCCATCATTCTCTCCCCATTCTGGGCACAGAACATTTCCAGGTTGCCCAGAGTGAGATATTTGCGAGGGAGCAGAGAGGTGCAAGCAAGGGTCAGATGCCTCAAGACGGAGGAGGTGACAGAATTCTTTTATGGAATTCCTCTGCTAGATGATGCCAAACACCCACGCTGCGAGGAGTGGGACTTTTTGCTCCACTTTAGCCTCAAAGGGAAGCTTTGAGAGCTGATATAACATGATGGCAGAAAGCTGGTGTCGGTGGCCAAGGAGGGTCTTGGGAGCCACCTTTGCTGTGGCGCAGTGCCACACTCCAGGTTGCACACGAACTCTGGTGGGTTTCTGCCAAAGCTCAAAATAAGGCAGTGCCCACCCTGGTGGCTTTGGGGGTGGAGCCTGCAGAGGGCGGGGCTTTGGGGCAGGGCGAGCTCAGCGCCTCCAGCGGGCTCCTCTCCACTGTAGTTTAAAAGGCTGGAAGGCGGGCTTCGAGAACTAGTATCTGAGTGCGGGAGAAGAGCCCGCTTGAAACAGCCATGACCCGGCAGGCAGGGGGCTCTCGGCTGCTCTGCAGTCTCCTCCTCTTTGTGTTGTTCACTGCTGGCGTCGCCCCCTTCAATTGGGATCTCCCGGAGCCCCGCAACCGAGCCAGCAAGATCCGAGTGCACCCCCGGGGCAACCTCTGGGCAACCGGTAAGTCTTGAGGGGACACCAACATGTGTGCCTCATTCTCCTTAGCCCCCAGTTTCCTTTCAACTTTCTGGAGGCTCACAGTGGCAGAGCTCCTGCAGACCCCGGGGGCTCAAGTTTAACAGGTGGGAATTAGCAGGTCAGATCCAGCAGCCACAGGCTAGGCTAAGATAACCCATTAAGCAAGTTTAAGACAAGAGCTGGGCCAGCATTGTAGATCTGGTTGCCAGCCAGCCCCCCTTCCCTTAAGCAGACTGCCAGGTTTTCTCACTCATGTCTTCTTTGTACATCCGTCTCCGAGGAGCCTTCTCTACTTCCTTCCCTGGCCCCAGGCTATCTACCCTTCTTCCAGTTGTGCTGTCCTCCAGCAGGTCGGGAAAAGCTGAGGCTTTGCCTCCACCCAGATGTCTGTGGCTTCTTGCTGAGGAGGAACATTTCTTGTCTTTCCTCTGTGAGAGCAGAAAGGTGGAATAGACCAGAACTTGCGTGTGGTAGGTAATAGGGTCCTCACTCCCTAGCTGTCACATACCTTGGCACCTCTTTTTTAGGTCATTTCATGGGCAAGAAGAGTCTGGAGCCCCCAGGCCTGTCGCTTGTGGGGACAGCACTTCCCAGCATCCAGAGGGACCAGAGACTGCCGCTGAGTCATGATCTGTTCCGGATCCTCCTGCTAAAGAAAGCCTTAGGCATGAACCTCAGTGGCCCAGACTCCCCAATTCAGGTGAGCCTCTACCCCAGTACCAACATGGAAGAATTGTCACCCAGCTTGGGTTCAGGGTGGGACTGCCTAGCCAGGATGTAATATGCATGGATTCTAGAAAGTCAGGGTCTCAGGGCTCAAAGGGGAAATATCCCAAAGACCAGAAAATGACGCAGCAAACTGCTTGGGAAAGAAGTTCCTCTTTGCCCATCCCCAGTCTGAAGTCACAGACTAGGATATCCTTGCCTTTGAACAGACTGTCCTCCTCCATGCCACACAGCCTTGTCCATCCCAGTTGTCATCTGCCTTTGCTGTTCCAGTCTGCCTGTGGTCTGACCTGTGACCTCTGAGCCCTAGCGGTGCAAAGGGAACTCAGAACCAGCCTACTTCCCATCTCCCTGTCCATCCCCCTGTCCAGTTACCAATGGCAGGCTTTATCATGTCAGTGCTCTCGACAGTCTAGGCTCTGGGGGCTGTCCTGTGCATTTAGGATGCTAAACACATCCCTGGTCTCCACCTACCTGACGCCACTAACACATTCTCTCTCCTCACCAAGTTGTGATAACCAAAATTCCCTCCAGGTCACAATGGTGCACTTGCCTGCAGTACCTGATACATCAGGAGGATGGTTTAAGACCAGGAGTTTGTGAGAAACAAAAACAAAAGAGTCTTTAGACACCAAGTTGATGTCCCCCAGGTGGAAGTGGCTGTAAAGCACTAACTAACCTGTGGTGCTCAAGCCCTTAGTGTCCTGCCTGGCTGGGTGGCAGCTCTTCCATTCTTTGCTTCTGGTACTGTCCCCACTGCACAGCACTCTCCCTTTACTTACTGCTGTGTGCAGAAGGCAGTGTGATGGGGTAGCATGTATGCTGGGGCCACATAGCTAGTTAGTAGTCAGGTGACCTTAGGAATGTCACTGAACTACTCACGCTCTTCATTGAATGGAAATAACAGACCCATTTATGTCACATGCACAGTGTGGTACACAGAAAGGTCTTGGTAAGCAGGAGCTCTTACTGCCTGTCTGCAAGCCCCTGGCAGTGCCTGCTGCTGACTCCCTTTGTAACACCCCACATCTGCCTAGCAGTGTGTGTATATGGAAGGAGAGACATTCCGTAGAGAAAGTCTACCTACAGTCCCAGCAAACATCCCAGAAATCTCAGATTCAAGAGCAAGAAGCTTGGACTGGCAGAGTCCAAAGAGACATAACATCACCTCTAGGATTATTTTGAAGGCCTGAAATACCAAGACCAACCAGAGACTCTCAGGGGAAGCAATACTGCCATGGCCAGTGGCAGGGAGCATCAGAGAGGTCTGGGGCAGAGTTTGGGGGAGGTAGAGGAATGTCGCTAACACTTGTCTAGTGCCTTGGACTTGATTTCTGTGGTGCCCTTTAATTGTCATGACCACCCTGAAATCAGTGCCATAATCTGGGAAAACCATTACCCCTGACTCGTCTCAGGCCTTTCAGGGAGAAAGGTACTCACTCAGAGACCCAGCAGAGAGCATGCCCCCCCCCCCCCCCCCCCCCCGCCACTTCTGTGCATACAGCATATCCCTATGATGTGTGGGTCAAGCCTTCTCCTTTTGTCTTCAGTACAGGAGGCTGCTGGAGCCAATACTGAAGAAGTGATGCCAATAATGGGACCAACACAACAACATGGCTTAGAATGTGTCCATCCAGGCAAGCTGCTGAATGCAACCCCAGGAGTGGCCCCATCTGGATGTAAATTCTAAGCTCCAGTGTGTTACTCCTTTGCTGAGATTTCTGGTTGGGTCACCTGGAATCTTGATGATGCAGACACAAAGTCTTTCCTGCTGTAGTTCTTGCTTCCCTGGTGAAGTTGTGAATAAAAACCCTGCTCTTTACACAGAATGTCTGGGCATCTTCTTCCACACACTTTTGAAGAAAGGGGAAAGGACTCTGAAGGGTGGTGTGTTTGTTGAGATGGGGTGGTCTTGGAAAAGCTCCATCACCCTTCACCATGGTGCCAACCAGGCAATGAATGATTGTCAACTTTTGGCAATCAGGTACTCTGTTTGTTCATGGGCCCATTGCCCAACCAGGCAATGAATGATTGTCAACTTTTGGCAATCAGGTACTCTGTTCACGGGCCCATTGTCATTTCTACTACCTAAAATTTCTTTGCCTGAGATGGGGAGCTGCCTACACCATGCTACACTCACCCCATCTTTCATCCCAAGCTTTAGTGTGCTGGAATCCAGCCCTGCTGTTTTCTGGTTCTTCTCTGGATGTAGGAACCTCTCTGTAGGCTGCCAAAGTTATCGAATAAAAATGAGAGTGTCAGATACTTTATTGATTGGTACAGTGTCTTGTGTAACGTAGACTGACCTCGAACTCCCTATGTAGCACATGAGCACTGGAATTACAGGTGTGCGCCTCCATGCCAGGAGTGTTTATGCGGTACTGGAAAGCGAGCTTCAAGCATGCTAGGCAAGCACTCTAGCTACATTCCTAGCCCAACAAAATTTCTTTCATTAAAAAAAAAAAAAACCTAAAGTATCCTTCACGGGCACATTCACGCGAACTTTTAAATTAACTGTTCACCTTAAGTTCCAATTAAGTCTGTATTGTACCTGGCTTTGGGACACTTGACAGCTCTTTGGCTGCACAAACTTGATCCTAAAACGGGGCATGTTTGATGTCTCCGGCCCTGCTTGGAGCTGACATCCAAGAATGTCTGTTTCTGCGTCGTTTTTTACCCGGAGTCTGCCCACAGAACCCGGGAAACATGAGGGCTTCGCGCAGCTCCGAGCGCTGCCTGCACCGCTAGGCGGGAGACCACGCCCTCTCGCGAGAGTGCGTGCCCGCCCCGGAAGTCGAACTGACGGAAGTGGAGCGAAGGAAGCGGCAGTTGCTATGGAGCTCGCGGAGGACTGGCTAGTGGAGTCTTTGCGCTTGTAAATCGGGCCGTGGGCGGGTCTGGTGGGCAGTAGGCGAGGGCGCGGGCAGCCCGGACCCGGTGTAGGCTCGCGGGCGGTGCTGATCCCCGGCCTCTCGTTCTGGGACACTCGGCCCTTCTGTAAGCAAGTAGTGGGACCAGGTGCTCACCCGGGAAGACTGGTTATGTTGCGCCGGCCTTTAAGTTAACTGAACACAGGTTTTCCAATTGATTGTTCACATCAACTTGGTGAAATAAACTTTGCGGAACCCCGGGAGTCCCACAGATTAAAACCATGGGTTGGTGCCTTGTCTTAACACACAGGAAGTAAAATGCGGAAAAAAGACCCAGTCCCAGAACCTGGGTCCACTAATTCTGCAGTGATCTCAGAGTTTTTGGTCAGCTGTACAGTGTCGTGCACCGTGTGATTTTTTTTTTTTTTAAATCTCTCTACTGCAGGTACCAAGATTTCCATGCATTTGACCTCTCAGGAGCCACTCGAGTGCTTGAATGGATTGGTGAAAAAGGTAATATACCCAGCCTGTCTCTAAAGGAGATGGCTTTCTGCCCTTGGGCAGAATTTTAAGGCCTCAGCCTTTTGAGAGACCCATCCAACTTCCATGGGAGCCAACTAGTGAACTGAGAGGAAATTTATCCTTCGGGAGAATTTATAAATCCAGCTGTAATCCACGATATTTCTGACAATTATCATAGTTACTGTTATGTTTCAGGAGTGTTTGTTGCTGGTTATGAGAGTTCGAAGAAAAATGAGATTCTTCATCTGATACTACCTCTCAGACTCTCTGTGAAGGAAAACCAGGTAACTTAAACAGAGAGGGAATATAAGGGAACTTGTACGTAGGCCTTTCTGGAGTGCCTGTTACCCACCAGGTACTGTCCCTGATAAGCTCTGGGTCTGTCTGTCCTTAAAACCTAGCAGAAGGAAGCTCCTATGCATAGGGATGAATGCCAAGGAAAGTCATGTGCTTCCTGAGAAAGCTGCTACAGATGACTGTATCAAAAAATAGATGTAGGGAGCTGGAGAGATGGTTCAGGGGCTGAGAGCACCTGCTGCTCTTCCAGAGGACCTGTGTTTGGCTCTCAGCACCCACGTTGCAGCTCACAACCTTCTATAACTCTTGTCCCAGGGCACCCGGCACCTTCTTCTGGCCTCCAAGGTACCAGGTGTGCATGTGGTGTTCAGACATGCATGCACGCAAAACACCATACCCGTAAAGAATTTTTAAACATAGATGTAGGGGCTTGAGAAGCAGCCCAATGGTATAGAACTCACATAACATGAGCAAGGTCTCTTTGTTCAATCTTCACAGCATCACACACACACAAAATAGATTAGGGAGCCATTAGGGAAACCATATGGATGGGGAAGGTG